TTGTAACCTACCGCAAGGCAGCCACGTGCCTGCCCCCTTGGACCTACCAAATCCTGAACAGCGTGTTCCTTTCCTGCTTGTATCAGTATCGCCCATACACCACATGTGGAAGATTACAGACTTGATACTACTGCATGGGAGAGTGAAGTTGTGTATGGAGAGAAGCAATTTCAAGCAAAATGATTTGGCCACCGATAGGCCCAGAAATACTCTGAAAGATAACAAGCCTGCAAGCACCACTGAACGCAACTGCAATGGAACATGCGTTTATCAAATCAGAGTGAGTTAGTGTGAACCAATGTCTCCCAAAGGGTTTTCAAATGGAACACTAGCCCTGTGAGGTAGTCCCCGAAGAAAGGACTCTGGGGTCAGATAAGTGTGGAAGGTACTGCTTTAGTGTATCTTTCATGGAGAGTCACAATGCCCAATGGCACCTTGAAGACACTGAGACATCCTGCCATGGGGGAAACCAGTGGAACTGTCTTTAGCTTAGTATCTCTCGAATATATCAGAACACAAGATCCCATTTTTTTGCACAACGCTTACTGACCCATGACAGGCCACTTTTGGAAAAAGGTTGATCTAGTCAAGGCACAAAGCTGAAAGGTAGGATGTCAGAGAGCACAACTTCTCCCTGGAGCCCATAGGTACACATGGTGATTGTGGACAGAGCCCAGGTCATCACAAGCACATATTTCTAGAGAAATATCACACCAGAGAGTAGAGAGTTCATACGAGAAGTCAGTTTACATAGATGATAGAAAGACAGCCAGGATAGCAAGTGCCCCAGGGGTGTTTCAAATTTGGCTGAAAAAGGGCCGGCCCGGTGGCGCACTGCACTGGTGCGCCGCTTGGGAAGCGCGGCGGCGCTCCCGCCCGAAGGTTCGGATCCCACATACAGACCGGTTCCCGCTCACTGGCTGAGCGAGGCGCGGGAGCAACACCGAGGGTTGCGATCCCGTTGCCGGTCCCCGGTCCGGTACGGGCGCGACACTGAGGGTTGCGAGTTGCCGGACACGGAAAAAGACAAAAAAAAAAAAAAA